ACAATCTTAGAATCTACCATTTTGAAATCCAAGAATTTATCAACAATGAACTTCTTTTTGCCAACATCCTCGGTCTTGCATTTGTTTGTCCAAGGACTCCCAAAGTTCTTTCGCGGTTTTGACTACACTGTACACATTATATAATGCATTGTCTAACCAATTAAAGATGTAATTTCTACACAAGAAATTCAAGTGCTTTCAAGCATCCACAACAACCACCTTTTCCACATTTGTTTCATTCTCATCAAGTGAAGGAACATCTTCCTTAAGAAACTTTGGAAGATTAAGGGTAGTGAGATAGAAAAGTATCTTAGGTTGCTAATGTTTGAAGTCCGAGCCATTGAACTTCTAGGGCTTCTCCCCATGAGACACACTCACGATTCTAGGAACAACTATTATACGAATAACAATAGCAGAAATAAAATTATTTGAAGTTGTCATTTCTGTTACACAAATAAAAGCAATAATGTAAAAATCAATAGTCTAACAGAATACACAATTCTGATTTGTGATAAGTATAGTAATTAATGAAAGTAAAATAATAACAAAATACAAAATTCTGTTTTAGACTTATAACAGTACTTAATCTAATTATAAAACAAAAATCCGTCTTAAGATTGTTATAAAAAATGTGTATATAATTAGACTATACTGTTTTAAATCTAAATCATGCAAAAATAAAACAGTAAGTAAGCAAATAGTACACTCTCAGGGACGCAGATTAGCACGGACAATAAATAAGAAAAATCAAAATTTTAATCCAAGCCTTGTGAAACATAATCTCCATAAAACATATTTGCTCCCTCTTGGTGCTCAAGGTCGATGAACAACTGTCTCCTAAGATATAACAAATTTTACCTTCTTGAATAAGCATCACTTCAATTTTCAAGACTCTAATGAACACAATTTGTGTTTATACTTGAACCGAACTAAAAAGAATAATGCAACAATTTACAGAGAGAGAGAAGAATTTTGAAATTAGAATCCAGAATGGGATAGATTGAAATAACAAATGGGCAGTCTATTTATAGACCCTTGGTGGCTGTTCATATTGCCTTAAAAGGCATGATTTGCCACTGTTCAGATTGAAAAAGCACACTCTTTCATCTGAATAGACAAGAGGTACCTTCTGGATGAACAGACTTTCTAGAAATCAACCCAAACCTCTTTTGGCGCCAAATTTAAAAGGTAATAGATAGAAATTTAAAAATTCGGTTGAATTTAAATTTCGGTTGAAATTTTTAATTTTGATCCACGCTTGAACCAGATTCATTTGACCCATAACCCACACCGCTTCAAATAAATTTTGCCCAAAAAGATTATATCTTTTTGTCGTGGTCATGGCGTGCGGACGGTGCGCGTGTGTGATAACCAAGGTAATGTCGGCACTCACTACGCTCATAAAAGTGTAGTACCCCTTGAGGCTCAACCTATGAAACCATGTAGAAGTATATTAGCTCATATGTGGGACAAACGTTATTTTATTACAACAATCTTAGTTTATTTTATCATTTCAAATAAGTCACTTTAAGACATAATTTCTCATTTAAATCTTAATGATTTTGGATAAATAAATATATCATGTTAATCTCTTCACGGAGGAGAACATGTTTAAACTTGGTCTTACCAATTTCGAGATGTGAGTCTTACTTTTGTTTAAGTCTCAATTTGCTCAAATAACTTGTATAAAACCATTTTTTTTCCAACACCTATTCCTAAAGAATAAGGCTCGTATCGAGGGGTGATAGTTGACCAAAAAAGTTGGGTATTTGCAGAAATTCATCTCGTTTGGATCGGGAATGGAATATACGTATTGGACGATGAACGTTTACGAAAATATCTGTATAAACCTGTGCGGGAATGGAGGTGATGATGGACTAAAACTCATACCCACTTTGCCTCTACCCCGCCCCGCCCCTCCCCTCTCCGTTAAACCCGTGATATATATAAAGACACAAATCTCACCTACTCTTTCACCCACTTATTAATACATAAATATAATATCACAAACCCCACCCACACAGACACTCTTCTCTTTACAAAAAAAGGAAAAAAATATTTTACTCTTTTTTTTTATTTATTTGTTATATAATGGGGTTTCATCCTTCTTGCGCAACCATTTGAGGTTTTTATAGTTTTTTTTCTTAAAATCATAAAAATTAATTATTATAGACATGGATGGTTGTGGGGACGATGATCAAAATTTACCTACGGAGAGGAGACGAGGATTAAAATTTTTCCTGTTAGTGGGGTAGACGAATATTTTTGAAATAGGTGCGGGGGTGCAGACTACTCATCTCGCCCCTGCCCAAGTCCACTGTCATCCCTACTCACACCCTACCCACACAACCTAAAGGACTATTAGTAGGGTTACTAACAGATCAGACCTTGATTTGTTAAGATTTGACTCCGATAAAAAAAATTGAATTTCGAATTCGATCTGTTTACTCAATGAATTTTTAAAATATTAATTCATACTCGCATCCGTTAATAATCATATTTATCCGATCTGATCTAAAAATTTGAATCCCAAAAAAATTTCATAAAAATTAATAATTTTACTAAATTTAAGTTAATTTTTAACCTAATTTAATCAACCAAACATTCTATTTAATAGTTTTTATTTAATTTCATGTGAATCTCATTAATAATTTAACTTATATATCCATATATATAACATTACAGATAGAAAATTAAATTATTAACTTATAAAAATATAACATCGGTCAAAATTAATCTAATCTTCATCTACTTTTATCTAATGGTACAAATTCATAAAAAAAAAATATTTGTCTAAAAACATCAATTTTTCTGCACGGCCGCTAATACCAGATAACTCAATTAATATATTTTTCAATGTCAAACAATCTCATCAATCCACATTTTCTTCTTTCTTTATTTTAATTTTAAATTACATAATTTAAAAATTAAATTAGTATTTAAAATATAATATATTGTAAGATTAGTGTTCGATTTTTGATATTGCTTAGTGTTATCAGACACGGGATTATTGCTATCATAGTGTCATTGAATTTTTATCGAATCGAATTTATATGTATTTAAATTTAAAATTATTTTAAAAATTTAATCAAATTCAAAGAAATAGATTAAAATATTAATTTATATTCAATTAAATAAACTCAAATTCAAGTTGAATTCGAATTGAAAGTTACTCCATTGAAAGGCGTAACTGTTAGGTAATTTGTCGCCCATCAGGCCACAATCCCTTTACCGATCCTTTTCCACAACTGTTACCTCCAACAAATTATCAATTTCAACTAATAGCCTATTTGATTGGATGGAAAAGTGAGTGAATGAAAAACAGAGGATAAAAAAGTGGGTGGATGGAAAGATATTCCTCTGTTTGGTTTAAAAGAAAAATGAGATGGAAAGAAAAAAGGGGTGAATTTCTCATCCCTTCTGCCCACCAATTATTTTCCCTCCAATTTTGGACGGAAAAGGGAGGGAGAGGCGGGAAGATGAGCTAAACAACAATAATTTTACAATTTTACAATTTTATCCTTTAATAACATCACTCACCATTTCTATTGTAAATGAGTGTTTGCAGCTCATCATTACCATAAATGAAAAAGCTATAATTGGAGCAAAACATCTATTATTCTTAATTTTTTTTATGTGGTGGAGATTAAAAATAGAAGTATCAATTGTGTCGGATTAAATGTGTGTTGTTTAAACAAGTGATAAATAAAAAACATACAAACATACAACACAACACATACACAACACATTTAAAATATATATATATTATTTTTAATAATTATTTACACTCCAATTTTTACGTCCAATTGTACTTCCAAAATTTCAAGCAGTAACTCACGTAAAAATCACACCACAAGAGTTAACTAAAATTAGAAGCCACTGCCTTTTTTTATAGGCAAGAGAAGTTTCCCCACTCCACTCCTTATCGATGTGGGATTCAATGAAAAGAGTTGGCCTTATTGATGGCCAACTGGTCTCCCTCTTCACGTGATGCCTTGGCTTACTTTTTTTTTAAATGTTTTCTTTACTTTTTTTTTTTGACTGATTCATTATTTATATATATATATAATTTATTATTTTATTAAATTTATTTAAACGGGCAAATGGGGTGATAAACGGGTTAACAGGTCTCACCCAAACACGACTCGTTTATTAAACGTGTCTGACGGGTCAACCTGTTTATCACCCAAATCCGTTAAAGTCTCACCCAAACCTGTTTAATTTATGTCGATTAATCATGTCGCGTCAAATTTTAACAGACTTAATTAAGAGTGGATTAGGTGGTAGTTCTTTTAGTGGACGGTGTGTTGTCTACATATTCACCCATTTGTATATAATTTAAATATTATTTTTAGTTTTGTATCTTCATTTTTTTATCTAGGAAAATGCTCCAATGTGTAAATTATTTTTATGTTCTTATTTTTTTTTGATGCCATTTTGTCATTTTTTAATTAATAGTTACAATCATTCAAAGCAAAATTAATTCTTCCAAAATTAATTCGTAACAGAAATAAGGGGATTAAAAGCTTTTTGCAAATTTTTTGGATTGATTTGTAATAAAAACTTCACTTAATATATTTAAGGGTAGAATTATAAATTGGGCATATATATTTTTCCTTTCCTTTCATTTTTCATTCAATACTAAACGATGAAAAATATATTTATTCTATTTTTCATCCCTCCTATCAAACAAAAAAGAGGAAAAATAATTTTCTTTCCTTCATGAATAGAATGATTATTCCTTTTTTATTTCTTTCTATCATTTGTACCAAACGGACCATAAGGGTAACTTCTTGTTCATTTAAAATATTCAATTGGATCTTTGTATTATTTTAAATCTATTAAGGGCCAGCTATATAATAAAGATATGTTTCGAGGCGTCTTTGTAATTTACAAACTTTGAAGTGAGACTGTGTCTGTGAGAGCTTCCGTGTATGGTTCACCCGCGGTATAAAATAGCCCTTGCTCCAGAACAGAAAAGAAAAAGTAAAATTTGAAAAATGGCGGGATCTGTAGTAGCAGTAGAGAACGACAACTCAGAGAAGTCGGTGACCGCCATTACCGACCAGTTCGAGGTCCAATACTCTCGCTTCTTCAGCTATCCTAGCTTCCCCTCAGCTCATCCCTCTCTCATCTCCATCTCCTCCAATCATCGAAAACGTTTCCAAGGCCATTGGATCTCCACCTCATCCTCCTCCACCGCCTCTCTCAGACTGCTCTCCGCTCACTCCAAATCTGGTTCCGTACTTATCGTCACTTTCCGTCACAAAATCCTCGTGAGTCCACGTTTCTACTATGCACTCATAAAGCTTTGAATCTCTCAATTTTGTTGTTCTAATGACCGAAACGACCAGAGTTCGAAATTCCGTGTTTAGCAAAGTGTTATGTGTTTTGTATCTGATTTGAATCTTTTTTTTTTCGGTAAGTATGATTTGAATCTTATTCAGTCGATGATATGGTTTTTCTGGTACTTTTTTGTCATTTAATTGGTCAACGCATAAAATTCGTTGGATTTTTCAGTACAAACATGTTTGGAGCGTTTGAAAATCTCTAGTTTCATACAGACTCCATTTGATTAAATGATTTTTGGTGAATTTCTTGTGTGTATATGAAATTATCTTCACGTGATCTATTTTGTAATTATGTGACCAAAACTATCTGATTTGAATATTATTTAGAATCGATCATATGATTTTTTTTCCTGATATTATAGAATTAGATTGTTCAATGTTATGATATGTTTAGATTTGTTAGGCAAATAGATGCTTGAGGCCTTGAATTTCTCAAATTCGTAGTTTCATTCAGGCTCGAGTCGATCATATGATTTTTAGGAATTTCTTGAGTTTGCATAGTAATCTTCATTGTCACAGTAGAACTTGTCATGCTATTTGATGTAGATTACCGTGATTCTGAATTCCGGCATTTCACAGAGCTCAAAGCGTTGAGTCTCTGAGATGCAGTATTAGTACGGGCTTGCGCTGATTTGGAGTAAGCTCTGATTGAAGAATGCTTGCTTCAGAACTGTCATTTTTGTTGGAATTGCTCTGCTTCAGTTATACATCCGTTGTTTCTGTTTCTAGAATTGATATGCTAGCTTAGTGGTGTTCCCCCTGCACGGGTTGCAAGAATATTTCCGTCATCCTGTAAATTCCTGATCATATTTGATATTTCCTTAGCCATATCTTGAGATTTCTGTGTATAGATATGTAAGTCAGGTTCATGCAAATTCAATCAAAATTATGAGTACAGGGAGTCTGCTTGAATTACTGGTGTATATATTTCTTTCATCCTGTTTCTAAGTTGTCTGATCCTCATTATTGCTCAATTTTTTTGATTGTTTTGCCTCCTTGCCAGACATCTTAGAAAGTTCATCAGAAGTAGTTCTAGGACTTCCTGTTATGATTTCGATTTGAGTAATTTACTAAAGATTTCAGAGTACAATTCAGGGTGGATATACCTAGTTATATCAGCTTTATAAGTGGTAGTCATATAAATGTCGATATATAGATGTATGGATAATCATTTATCAGAAATGCAAGTGTGTGGTTAGTGGTGTTATTTTTTCTGTGATGCAATTCTGCACGTTTTTAGTCCCAGAGAGCCTAAGAAGTCTTGTTGTCAGACAAGTTGATTGCTAAATGCCTATATTACTAACTTTAGGCCAGAACTGTAATGATATGCTGACCCTACTATAGGCATTTGATCTCTACTTTCAATTGCACCAAGGTTTGTGTCCAAATCACTACTTTTTTCGTTCTCATTTGCTCTATTGGAATTGATATGTTGCAGGAAGAGCACTACATTTTGAAGCTTCATTTCACCTGGCCTCAGGTATCATGCATATCTGGATTTCCTGCCAGGGGAAGCAGAGTTGTTTTTGTGAGCTACAAAGACAGTCTAGGCCAGGCAAGTCCTTTTTCTGTTTCTTTTTTTGAGTGAGGCAAATACAGGACAATGCTAGAAAATCTTTTCATCAATGAGAACTGAAGGCACATAACAAACTTTACACAATCTTTACATTTAAGTGTCCATTGTGGTCTGTTGAGCCTCAATGATAATTGTTAAAAAGTTTCTGGAATCACTCAGAATAATTAAGCTCTAGGAGAATATTGGCCTTAATCCAAAAAGCGTACTGAGCAACATATTTCTATTGGTGCATGTCTTTATTTTGTAAGTGGTAATTTAATTAATATCCTTCTAGGTTGTCTTGTGGTGGCAAGGAAAGCAATGGCAGGTTATGTCCTAATTAAAAGAATTTGTGTATTTGCAAATTGTTATTCCTCTGGTTAATGTGTTAGTATTACTCTGACTAATTCATTGCTCTCAAAGAAATTATCTTTTCAAATGCACTCAGTTTTACTATTAAACACTAAAATGAATGATGAAAGTATACTTAGAATCCACAAGGCAGTGTCACTTGAAAAATACTTGCCGCGTTTCATTGGTGTCATTTTGATAGCAAGTTGTAAGAGTAAGGGAATCTTTATCAATAAAAGATATCCCTTTGATGCAGACTTGCCTAATGTTACCTATTTCATTGCTGCAATTTTGGACCTCAATAAAATATTTTTTGCTTGTTTACAGATTCAGAAGTTTGCCTTGCGGTTTTCATCAATATATGAGACAGAAAAGTTCACAAATGCTTTGAAGGTGCAACAATCGTATCTGTGATTATAATTGGTCATTGACATCCTATTTATCATCTGAAAATTCATGATGCCACACGCTCTGCAGATTTCCTCTTTCTTTCGTTATAATCTTGTCATGTTGTGTTCCTTTCCCAGGAGATCTTGGAGGATGTGAGGCTTACTGGGCTTCCAAGTGGTAACTTTGGATCTGAAATATCATCTCAATCTGCGTTTGGCCCTTCTAATGGGCTCCCATATAGGTCGGAGAGAAGAATGGCTATTATTTAACTGCATTTCGTCCCTTGCAGCTGAAATTTAATATCTAGAATGATCATTTATTGGATGCTGAAGCAAATACTGCAGGGAAATTTATCCGAGAGCTGTCGTGTTTGCAGGCCTAGGGAGGATTGGAGTTCTATGGCATCTGCTGACTCTTGTACCTATCAAATGCCAATAAGCTTGGAGTATGAAGTTGCCCAAAATTCAAGTACTCAGGAAACCGCACATAACCTTGATACTACTCGTGACGCTGAGGGCATCCTTTCGTCCTTCCCCCCGAGTTTCACATCATTACTCATGAACTGTTGCCCTGCAGTGGAACAAGGTAGATTGACTACCCACTTATTCTCACACTATGGTCTTCTTGCTTCTAGCTCCCTTTCATCACCTGATTTTTTGATTTAATTATATAGATGCCGCACAACCATCTGTCTCTGAGGAAGTTGATCTCAAAGTCCAACTAGCGGTAATGTCAAATGCTGCAATTTTATGTTATTGATGTACATTTTTGGCTTCCAGAAGTGTGGTCACATAGTGCTTGTCATTACTGACACTTCGACATATATTTCAAGTCGAAATTAAACTACTGCCTCATTAAAAAATTCATTTTTTGTGTGTGTTGTTTTGGTTGCAGAGATGCTTGGAGGATTCTTCATTCCAAGGTATGGCTTGTTTCCGAGTCTCTTAATGATAAGAGGCATTTGCCAATTCAGATGCAGACACATGCATGAACACAAGCACAGACACCTACTTTTAATGCTAATAAACCCAATTTCAAAGTTGTGCATATCTGGGGGTTGATGAGACAATATTCCATTTAGAAACATTTCTCTCTTTTTTTTTGATAAGTTATTTGGCATTTTGTTAACTTATTCTCTATATGGCCAGATATCCTGAGTAAAGTAGAGAAAGTCATCACTGAAATGGGAGGTGATCTGATGCTGTAATCATATGTAATTTTGTAGTTGATGAGCTTGCCTTCAGCACGCCTTGCCTCGTTCATTACAACAGGTTTAATCCATATGTCCTTTTTTTTGCCCTTTTATTCCTCTTGAATTGTCATAATTCATTACATTCTTGGAAACTGGCTAAGTAATCTGTGTTGTATTAAATCGATAGAATTTTGTTTCTCAATAAGATCTTGGCAGTCTAGGCTGTTACTTCTCTTGTGAAACTTGCACCTCCAATGCTCTTTCAATTTTATATGGATCTGTATTATGATCATCCGTCTATTCTGAAAGCGATCCATATCTAGGAGAAAATGGGAAAAAAAGAATTAAAGTAATCATGAACAATGTCCAGAAGGAGGGATAAACATAACATCCTTAGTTAACAAATCGACACTGTTTCCTGATCTCCCCTTGTGTTCCTGTCAGCACTTCTATCCTCCCCATTCGAGTCATTGACTTAACAAACTTTTGACTCCATCCGTCTTGATCCAAAGCTAAACTTTTCACAAGATAACTTGTTTTGGGGTCATTAGCTATGGCATTATCCGATTCAAGCAGCGCTTTTTTATTTAAAATCTGCTTGTAGAACTCGACATCCATATTGTACGATGTCACGGAGTCAAAAGCCACATATGCCTTACTGTTTTCCGCTCCGCATGTGAATCTGACATACCCGAGGAGATTGGCATCCATGACTTTATCTGCATCAGGTGCTGAAGCTCTATAAGAAAATGTAGGACAGTGAGCAACACCAATTGAGTGGGCACCAGTTAAAACCACCATGTCTTCTATGGTCAGGCCTTTGTTGAGGAAGTTCTGTGCCATTTGATCAAGAGGCCAATTAGGATGTGGGAGACTGCCATTGACATCGACTTTCCGGGAAGTGAGGCTATCACGCCGGCCACCTGCCACGTCATAATTCTGGAGACCCGATAGAACAAGAGAATCCCGGGCTCCAAATGCTAGTATGTCGGCGCAGGACACAACGCCGGGGCATTCCTGCTCAAGCTGTGCCTTCACCATGTCAATAACTTCAAAGCCTACGAGACTGTCAGTATTTTCAACGGCTAGCTTCTCCACTTGCTCAAGGGAAGGTATCTGGTCCAACAAAAGTGAGGCATCGCATCCCTGCAAATTACATAATTTGCCATAATCCTCAATAATTTTTCTCTTTCTTAAATTTGTTTTTTTCTTCCAAAAAATTTCGTACAGATTGAAAAACTTAATGCATGGAAAGGCAAGAGGGAAAGTGATTGGTTTATCTTCGAGAAGGAAAAATAATATGTAGGAGGATATAAAAGTTATTTTGACACGTTGAATTGTAAATTTATTTGTTTTTTTTTAATTATTTTCACAGAATTTTTAGTAGTTTCAATTTGGTTCAGAATCTAGGTAAGGATATAAAGACATTGTATTATTGGAACCCAATAACATGTAATGCAAATAAGAAAACAATAAAACCATGAAACCTTATTGCTTATTCCTTGGAATCATATAATGTTTGTTATCTATGGAATGTGTCATGGTAAAGAACACCAAAAGACTTACTTTGACAAAACAGTCATGGAAATGAAGGCGAAGAATGCCAGCAGGAACGCCTGAATTGTTCTGGACAGCCATAGAGAGAACCTCTTTCACAATCTCCTCGGCTCGTGGGCAAGTCTGGTCGTAGAATCCTACACGCAGGCCACCTTGGTTATTTTCAGGACCATCATCTTTAGGTATTTCTCTGATGCTCCCACCTTGGATACCATTATTCGGGGATTTTTTGACCCTTCCTCCTCCGCTCCTATCCTGGTTGTGATCATTTTTTGGGGATTTTTTCACTCTTTCACCTCGGTTCCAATCCTGATCGTGATCCTGTTTCGGGGATTTTTGGACTCTTCCACCTTTGTTTCTGGTATGATGGCCTTCGTCATATTCCGGGGTCTCATGCATTGGTTCGTCTTTTGGTGTTTGAAATCTGGGATCATATACAGGAGGCATATTGAATATTCCACCTCTTAGGCCAAAAATGTTTGGAAATATGAAGAATGATGAGGCCAGTGGAGGGAAGATTGAGCACAAGATAAAGATTGCTGCAACAATTTTGGCACTGGCCTCCATCTTCGCTGAGAATTGGCGGTCTAATGACTTGCATTTTGGACATGGGAAATGAGGCCATATATATACCAATAATATGTGGAGGATGGGTTTGCATTCTTTCAGTTTTTGCAAAAATAGAATGCCGTGTTGAAGGAGTCGGAGAGCTAGGCTGTGTTTACTGCATTTAGAGCTTGAAAGCTGTGCACATTTTTTTCTCTCTGTGCTGCCTGGAAAAATAGAAGAGCATAGTGATCAATGCTTGGTCATTGTGTAAAACTAGGGTGACAATTTTTACACAAGAAGAAAATACTGAGTTGTTAAAATTGATACGAAATTAGTGGACTAGGGTTTATCATTTCTAACATATATATGACATGATATGTTAATACAAATAATAAATGGGTTAGATCAGTGTCAAATATAAAAAATACAAAATTGAAATGTTTACATAGTATTATAAAAAAATTACTAATTTTTTATTATATTTTATTAAGTAATGGCTTAATTTTTGTACAAAAAAAAAGATATTTGAGAAAATTTTAGTCACGTTTTTTCTAGTTTATCATATCTTCATGGACACTCCATTTATTATCAAAAATATCATTGACATCCTTGACACTAAATCACCATTTATAACAAAAATAAATTATCTAAAATACCAAAATTATTCCTACATAAATACCAAATAATCTTTCTACATAAATTCAATTAAAATTAAAGTTGATTAAAATTTATTTTTCTATATATTAAAATTCGAGCTGATTAAAATTCTTTTTTTTTCATATTAAAATTTAAGTCGATTAAATTTTATTTTTTTACGTATTAAAATTCGAACCGATTTGAGCTCTACTTGAGCTATTAGCCTTGATTAAAATTCTCTTCAAGTCGATTAAGTTTTATATTTTTTCATTTATTAAAATTTATTTTTTATGTATTAAAATTTGAGTCGATTAAAATTTATACTTTTTTATGTATCAAAATTGGGGTCGATCAGAATTTAATGCAAGTTAATTAAAATTTGATTTGAGCTAAAATTTTAATAAGTAAAAAAAATATAATTTTTAATCGACTCAAATTTTAATACATAAAAAATAAATTTTAATTAGTTTAAATCGAATTTTAATCGGCTCAAATTTTAATACTTAAAAATATTTAAGAAAGAGATGAAGTTTCATTAAAGATATGTCTATCTAGAGGGGGTGAATGAAGTTTTTCCTAAGGTATATCATGGATAATTTAATAAAATTGTATTATAATTAAAACTTTTAATTTGACAGGAATAGAACTGTCCATGGGCCAGGTCGGGCTTGGCCCATGAATTTTTTTTTGGGCCGGGCTTGGGTAATGTTGGTCCAAGCCCGTACTCGGGTGAGTGGCGGGCCGGGCTGGGCCCGGGTAAGGGTAAGTTACCCGTAGCTCAGCCCGTCACCTATTGGGTTGGCTTTCTGGGCGGGCTTTGCAGGCCTGTTTGAGAGGGCTTTTGTTGGGCAGACTTTGTTAAACCTGTTGGAAATGAACTATTTTAAGTTATGGTGGTCGTTTAATTATAAAAATTGGTTGAACAAATTTAAAAAGTTAAGTTGTAATAAGTAATTTAATATAATATTGAACATATTCGTAGCATTGATAATCGATACAAATAAAATGGCTTATAGTATTACCAATAAACATAACTAAAGAGGATTTATTAAAATTAAAACATAAAAGAGAAGAAAATGAAAAGTAAGGGTTCGATAATATTATCCAAATTATATTGAAATAAATTTTATACTAAATAAGACTCTAGTGCATTTATGCAATCTCATTTGATAATTCAGAAATTTGTCATCAATTAATAAAAATAGATAGAAATAAATAATAGTAAATTTAATTATTTTAACAATTCATTTTTATTTTTTAAAAGAAAGAATATGAAAGGCTTGACTATGTGTAATATTAATGAAGTTTTATCAATATAAATTTCATATTAATAATGTTAGTATTGTGAGAGTCAAGTTGTTCAATTAAAAGTTTAACATCAATCTAGTCTTATTAATATGAGTTTTAAATTAAATATAACTAATATTGTCTTTATATATTGTTTTAGGGTTTAAGTAGTCAATCAAAATTTTTTCTAAATAGTGTGCTTTTATTGGTAGTATAAATGTGTATATTATATATATGATATGTGGGCTTCAGGCAGGCTTTGGGTATGTGGGCGGATTATTGGGTCGGGTTTCGGTCTTCGGTCCGGGTAGTGGGCTTAGGGGTAAACTCAAGCCCTTTCTTAAATGATATTGGACTCGGGTTCGGGCGGGTTGATGAGTGCGTGAAAGTGCATTTTAAATACTCTATTATTGGATTAAAAATGCTAAAATGTGAATATAAATAATTAAATATAATTTATATTATTGAATTTAATATCTATTCACACTGAGATATAATTGAACATAATTTTATAATATTTTAAATCTTAAATATTATATTATTGGTTGATGAGAAATAATTTACAATTGAACTTTATATTTAATATTTTTGAAACTTTATTATTGAACTTTTATATTTGTTTTTATTTTGATGGCGGTCCATGGAGTAAAAATGCTGAAATTGAAGCTGCTGTCACGTGGGCCCGGTACTTATAATTTTTATTGGACTTTATCTTTTTCAAATTATACAAGATTTGTGTTTTAAGGGCTGAAATAGAAATGTTTGAATCAAGAGAGACCGGAGTAAAAAGGCTAGAATAAAAAAAGAGGAAAGAGTTATTTTCAAAAAGAAGATTGACTTTTAAACCTATTCTTTTATTTATTTGTTCCCGATCATATTTATTTATGAATAATTAAATTCTAAAGTAAGACGAGGGATAAACTTACACAGTAAATAGTATTTTATTTATTTTTAATTTATGTATTTTATTTTTAATTACTAAAACTCTTTTATTTTTATCATTCTCAATTTATTGTTGATATTTTTTTCTTTGAATAGTCATAGAATTTATTCTGTTTATGAATTCAACCATGCTTTTTCTATTGAATGGATTAATTGTTTGATTATGTTTGGACCAATTATTTATCTATATTGATTTAATTCTTTACTGCAATAATGTTTTCTTGAGTATATTGTCGTCGTTGAATTTTTTCAATAATGATAATAATTTACGTATTTTAAAAATGGTAAATGATTTTTTAAAGGATTACATTGGGTTTAATCTTGGTTTATAAATCTATATTTTTCGGTTGAGAATTTTGGGAATTAAATTCTCAATTGAATTATTCAATGACTTAAGAACAATTAAAATACCAGATTTGTGCAAGAGATTCCCGATACTTTACAGTTTGTCAAATTTGAATATTTTTTCCATTAGTCACTTTGTTTCACTTTAATTTGCATTTAAAATTAATCTTTATTATCCAGTAATCATTTAATATTTTTCTTTAATTTCTTTGTTCATTTTATTATTCTTTTAATTTGTCTCTCTGTGGAATCGACACCCCAAAACTATGCTACAATTACCGCGTTATTCTTTGGGTGTAATCACTGGCCAACTATTAAGCCTATTTTTTTCTGGTCAAGTAAAGGGATCCGTGGGTAACCCAGCCCATGGACACTCTTAGACAAGGGGTGTCAGTAAAAATTCAAAAAATAGAAGAGTGTCTTTGAAGATATGATAAATTAAAAGGGATGTAATCGAAATTTTTTCAAGATATTTTTACTCATTTTTTATTATTATATTTATTAAGTTAATTTTTAATTTATAAAAAAAGTATGAGTATCTATTCGATTAAGTGATGATAAAATTTAGATATAAAATTGAGTGCTAATTTTTTTTTTCATGGGTTATATGGATCAACCCGAACATGAATACAAAACGATTAGTTAACAAATTGAGTTAGAATTAGTGTTATCAGAATCGGACCGGTTCAATCGCAAACCGGGACCTTAACCGGTCTGGTTCCTTAGTTGAACCACTTAAGGAAGCGATTCGGCTAAAAATTGAAAAATCGGCCAGTTTTTAACAAAATCGTGAACTGCCAGTTTTATAAAAATTGGACGGTTTAATGCCTATTTAAAAATTAAATTACATAAATAAATTTTTTTGTCCTAAATCAATAAATAATTGATTTTTTAACCTTATTCTTGGATAAATTATAAATGATACCCTTTTTTTTTCTTTATAATTTACTTGAACCTTTTTACTTTGCTTTAAAATATAATAACCACCACTTTGTCATTTAAATCATTAATTTTATGGCAAATTATATGTATTTTATACATATTTTATATTTTTTAGTTAAATTATTAAGTTTTATAATTATTATATATATATATATATTTTATTATATGACCGGTCCGATCAGTTGATCCAACAGTTGAACCAGTGAATCATTGATCTGATCTCCTTATTAATTTGATGATCGATCCGATTTTGATAACATTGATCATAATTATAACTAATATTCGTGACGAATACGATTCCACGCGACACGTTTGTCACTTTTATGTAAAACGTGATGTTTTTTCATTCCGTGCTTGTGGACGTGCCCAAGGGCAAGATTATATCACATTTAGGACTAGAGGACGAATTTAGTGAAAAAAAATTTGATATCATGCTTCCAAAATTTACTAATTCAAAGAGTATTTTTATAATTTTTGTAGGTTATTTTATAACCAAAAAATTTATTATTTATGTTGTTGATTTATTATTTTTGTGGGTGTTTTTATCATTGTTGTAAATATTTTTACCACATTTGTGATAACTATTTTTATCACATTTATAGTAACTATTTTTATTACTTTTTTAAATATAAAAAAATTTATTATTCTTGTGGATGATTTATTATATTTGTGGTAATTATTTTAATCATTTTTTAGGTACTACAAAAATAGTAAAAATATTCACAAATATAATAAAAATTACCACGAATATGATAAATTTTGATATAATATTAAAATTCAGAATTCAATATCGTAATTAAATCCCTCAATTTATATACTTTTAGGCTCGATAATAACACGTTTGATCTGCGAATTTGACGCGAAATTGTGAAAGGATTATCGGATCTTAGTAAAAGCAAATTAGAAAACAGGGGCGGACTTATGATACTGACATTTCGTATCAAAAAATTAATGGAGATCATTGAGGAGTTTGTCTCCAAGGGTAAACCGGTAATCTCCTAAACTAAGTTTTCGTTTAAAAGTGAGAAAAGACAATTCTAACAAGGTTAGTCCGTCTGACATTGTTGTTTGGCGGCAGTTTCTCTACTAATGTCTCCCGAAATGTAGTGTTTTTTAGGCGGCGGCACTAATGGGTGGGACTGGTATGGAAACGTACACAAACTGCCAGCCAACATAAACTGCACTATAATCTATGTTCAGTAAACAATGTGTGGCCGATTTCTTTTCCCAGGCGTCCTTGCAGCTTATTCCCTCGAAAAAGAGAATAGAATACCACGAAGGTCAAAAAAAAAAAAAAACCAAAAAAACGAAAAAGAATTCCCCCCCTCCCCTGCCTCTTTCAAATTACCTTCCTTTTCTTTCTTATTTTGATTTGTATTGTAGATTTAAATTTTCATAAAAGCATTGATTTCCATGATTTAAAGGTATTTATAAAATAAGCTTTCAAAATTTTGAATTGGCAGCGAATTTTGTAATTACGTGAATTTAAACTAATTTTCATTATGTTAGAAACTACCATAAAATGAAAGCAATGATCAAAAACTATGATGGAGTATAAATTGGTTCCCCAAAATAGAAAAAAGAATGCGACACTTTTTTGTTGAAAGAGCCCAAAAGAGAACACAAAGAAAAATGTTATGAGACACGAAATGATTCTCGTATTAGAATATGACAAGTTGACTCAAACAATAAAACATTGGGGAGGTTGGTTGTCTCAAAAAAAGAATTTAGGAGAGTATGCCCTATAAGAGTAAAAGAATAAGGTGTATTTTGAGACTGAGGATTTAATGTGAGGTAGGAATGTGGATCCATTATTACATAACAAGTTATAAAGAATGGTTGATTTTGCAAGCAAGTTACATCGAAATGTACCTCGAATTTCAAGAAATCTGGATAAAGACATGATAAACTTGAATTTCTTAGAGACGTGAGAACTTAATATTTGGTGTCATCGCAATAATACTTAGACACGATAAAATAAATATCTTTTAGATCATTAAATGTTACTCACGAGTGCTCAATATATTAGGCTAGGCAATCATTACAGTGCCAGATCATGAGGAGATGCCAACTTCCCCCGACCTCGTAATTGCATGGCTCCATACAAAAATAGGTTATTGATGATTACCCTATGAAGGCGCTCTCAATCGGTCCCTGCAATGCCATGCCATGTCATCCTTTTGTAAGGCATAAAATAACCCATTGAATTGGGTCTCAGATATACATTCGCCAGTAATCAAAAACAGTAAAAACCTTATTCTCCCTTTAAACACTTACTAATTTATGCATCAGAAGAGATAAGCCGAATAAGTCTTTAGCCCCCTTCTGACATTGTACTCTATCACAAGAACAACCACACAACTTCCGCCTTGCCTTGGTGGAATTATCTCAAATTATTGTACGAATTCTCTTGTGCAGAATGAATACCACCTTGGCAAAGTAAAAAGGTGGCATAAACACCCTCTCTGTAAATACTCTCAGTAAACACCTCCCTTCGGGACTACGAGTTCTATTCAAGTATCAAAATTTTCTTTTGATACATTATTTTAGTTATTTAAAAAATAGAAATGTTTCAACGTATTTCATAAATGTTTGACCTATTGCAAAAATAGAATAAAAAAAATATAAAATTTAAGAGTTATTTTTTTAAAACATTAATTGAAATATATCAAAATATCTTAAAACACCTCAATTAGAATTTCGATTCAATTACTAATTCGTTTCGATTTATTTGAAAACGAAAAATTTTGATCTTTGGTCTCATCCCAAACATTTGTTTTTGATCCCGAATAACATGCCTCTATCCACATTTCCTGTAGAATGACCATTTAATAATAATAATAATCCTTTATCTTTCATAGTTGATTCGCAATACTTTTGTGTTTTAGCAATTATGTGAGCTTCTCAATTTGTCTTCTTTTAATATGTTCTTCCTCATTTAATATTTTATGCCTCTGTTCTAGGCCAAAGCACTAACTCTTAAAAATAGGATTATCTTATCAGGGGGGGGGGGGGGGGGACTAATTATATAATCAAAATTTAATAACTTTGTTGCTCTTTGAGGCTTGAACCCTTAAATGGACACGAGATGCCATGTGGGGCTTCTCCCATGTTAAATCTTTTTTTCAGTTTCCAGGGAGCTCTACAATAAACTTGTGACTCCTTGGTGACTATAATTGATGGTGATGTATAGTTTAATGGCCGGCCAGAGGCCTGCATTTTGCTTAACTGAAAAAAGTCCTGTTTAAAATTTGGTGTTACATTTGATTTAAGATTCTCAATAATATAGAGCATGCTTCTTTATGTTTTTATGCTGGCAGATTACCTAAAGAGACAGCTATGGTATGGTAGGAGTGAGCAACTGTTCCAATTACAATACCCAAATGGAGACTTGGAGGTGATGTAATCCAGTAGGGTAGAAGAGTGCCTAGTCTGGATTGCATAGCCAGCGTATGTGCTGCCGAATTACAGTCTGGGGTGTTGAAAGGTCTGCCATGTAAGATAAATTTTGTGACCAATAAGAAACACCTCTTTTTCCAGAAAAAAATAGATTCTGTTCAGATGAAAAAAGGGTTTTGTACAGCCAACCATGCTGGGCAGACGGATACAACAAAGCCCTTACAGTAGAAATTCTTCTGCTTATGTGACAGAGGCGTGCACCAAAATGCTAATGTATAAGATTGGCGTTGAGACAGCTATAGAAATTCTTTAGCCAGTCTCAAAATGTCTCGGGTAAACTATCTGGTATGATTCCGTCAATATCGATACGAGTTGATCGAGTCGTATTTGACTCAGCACTTTTCGAGACGATATTGTTACACGATACATATAAACCCCAAGTCGGTCGAGTCATTTAAGTTGTATCGGAGTCAATTCCGAGTCACCGAGATATCGTCACCGAATCGGCCGATATGGTTCTGCAACGCCACAATATGACCTGAATCTCTCTTCATATTCATCATTTTCTTTTAAGTTGTATTGCCGGATCCCACGACGCAATGCCGTGACCTTGAACCATGCCATTTGGCATATAGTGCAGAGCCTAAAATCGCTCAATTTACTTCCTACCATGATGAAACAAAATACAGCTAACTCTCTCTCACAATTTCATAAGTAAAATATGAGTTTTTACCCAACAAAATTTAATGTGGCTGCAGTTTCATAACATTAAGTATTCATCTGCCTATCTGATTCTAAAAATTATGCATCCCATCCTTGGGAAACAACGGCCAGATTAGCTCGATTAGTAGATTGTAAATATCGACCAGTGGACGGGACCATAACAAATTTAGTACTGAGCTGTTAGGGGCGGACATTGTGTACGACAAACTGATATTATAAGCTAGGAGTTTTCAGCTTTCTTTGTTAGTACCTAATGTGTGGATGTGGCAATTTCCATGTGGAAGATGGTAAAATATTGACAAACAATCTAGTACAGCTCAAGAAAATACTAACAAACATGCAGTGACAAAGATAACGAACTATTCTTTATAAGGTCCTTCATTTCATTTCTTGTGCTTTCTTTCCTTTCTCATGAGCAACCTCAAGCCAACATCTATGGCTTCCTGGCATCTTTTCGTTCCTTTCTTCCTCCTCCTTTTGTCAACAACTCGATTCATGAAGGCTTTTGCTTCAGACTTTTATAACCAATCAATATCTATGTACCCATTCAGTTGCTCTGATCGCATCAAAACATGTAATTCTATACTCTACCAAAGCGATGGTCTCCAAATGGAGCAGATCGTCAATTTTTATGCTGTCAACAATACACAAATCCAGCCAATTAGCCATGCCAACAAGGCAGACTACCTTATAACTGTACCATGTTCTTGCAAAAATGTGAATGGCACTGTTGGATACTTCTATGATACAGTCTACACACTGAAACAAAACGACACATTTGTCGGTGTTTCTAATCAGACTTACAGTGGGCAAGCTTGGAAAGTTGGAGGAGAAGAACGATCTTATATTGCAGGAGAAGAAGTACCCATTCATCTTTTGTGTGGGTGTGTAGAAGGGGACTCCCAAATTGTGGTAACATATACAGTTCAAGAGCATGATACATTGTCAGATATTGCTACTCTCTTATCTTGTCAAATCAATAATATTGAGAGCTTGAGCAAAATTCTGGCTGGCAATCCAGGGTATATAGATGTGGGTTGGGTTTTGTTTGTCCCCATGCCAAAGAATAGAATTCCAGCCCCCCAAAAGAAAGGTTAGTGTGATCTTTGGTTGGAAATTCGAGACTTCCATTTTTGTTATCATTTCATTATTCTCTAGTAAAACTGCATGTTCTAGTAATCTCAAGAAACCAACCTGTTATTTGTTTCTAACATGACTTGGCTGATGATTGCTGGAATCATTCAAAACAGCTTTTGCATACAAATTTTCATCTAGATATATATATATATCACGAATTATTGGTTTTCACAATAGCAGGTTCAACATTGTGACACTGTTTTGTTTATCTGTTTCATATCGGTTAAGTCCACCATTTTTTTCATTTAATAAATAGGGAAATTTTCCAGATTCACTCCTCCAAACTTCAGAAAGAATATGCAGGCAAATTTCAAAAAACAGAACAGGCGTACGAGACACAAGAATAAGTATACATTTGATTGATTAGGGAGGGAGCATTCCAAATATTTAAATAATATTGATACACGCTTTGTCATAATATTAAGTTGACTTTGCCCGTCTCATCTCTTCCGTTGGTTAACAGGGAAGGGGCACAAGTGGTTGATTGTTGTTGGCATATTATCAGCTATAACGTTATTCTCAATTTGCACATTGACCATAATCTTTCTAAGGAGGTACAAAACCAGAAAAGGCAATGACAAAGATCCGAAAGCTGTATCCAAAAACTTGAGTGCTAAGAAATCATTTTCCTTGCAGAACCAATACCTGCATAAAGAAGGTAAAATGAACTCAAACGCAAGTGTCAAAGAGAAAAAACTATGCTCAATTTGTTTGTCTGTTCGCTTCTAATTATAATCAATAACAAACACAAATACACACACAACAAAAGAGAGGAGAGAGAGAGAGAGAGATGAGAAATTAACTTATGAATTGCTTGACAGCAAAAAAAAACACTCACTTGTTGAATTCACATCTACAGACATCAGTGGTTTTGAATCAGAAAGACCGGTAGTATACAGTCTTGAGGAGATTGAGGAGGCAACAATTAACTTTGACGAGACAAGAAAAATTGGAGAGGGTGGATATGGGAGTGTATATTTTGGGGTAATAGGAAAGCAGGTAAGGAAGCTATTTTGTGCTTTCCTGTTCATCTACTTGATTGTGCTAAGCATCATTCTCAGAAAACTTTGAAGTTGAAGACACGACCTTCGTGTACAGGAGGTTGCAGTAAAGAAGATGAGGTCCAACAAGTCAAAGGAATTTTTGGCAGAGCTCAAGGTCTTATGCAAAATACATCACATAAATGTGGTAAGTCATCATTTCTTAAAAATGAAATTTGAAAGTGGTGTTAAAGACTCCCTAGCTATATACTGACAAAGTATACTTCATAGGTGGAGCTGTTGGGGTATGCCAGTGGAGACGACCACCTCTACTTAGTTTATGAGTATATTTCTAATGGATCTCTCAATGAGCATCTTCATGACCCTTTACTGAAAGGTATTAAAACCATAGGTGCATTTTCTTTGATTATAATAAGATGCCTTTGAAAGAGAGCAGAAGGCACTGAAGCAATGTATCGCAAGAGGACATATGCCAAATGAGCAAATGTATTGAGAAATATCTGCAATTATTCCATATGCTAATTTCATTGGAAAATTTTCATCAATTTTTGAACTTTCATGTTATACAAATAAGATAAGCTAAAATTAAATAGCAGGAGAAAGGCCCTGACATCAAAATGTATTAAATCAGGTCACCAGCCTCTCTCTTGGACAGCAAGAACACAGATTGCATTGGATGCTGCAAAGGGCATTGAATACATTCACGATCACACAAAATCCCGATACGTGCACCGGGATATAAAGACAAGTAACATCCTACTTGACGAAGGGCTCAGAGCAAAGGTACCTATATGATGACTCATTTGAGTTTCAGGAGTGATCGAGTTATTTTTACTACAATAATAACACCAATCACCTAATAGTTGTTGAAACTTAAAATCCATTTCCATAGGTTGCAGATTTTGGATTGGCAAAGCTTGTTGGACGAACCAATGAAGATGATTTCATAGCAACTCGCCTGGTTGGAACACCAGGATATCTTCCTCCCGAGTGAGTCTTGCATTCTTGTTATGTGATGCCGTGCTATTTGCTCTTAATTATTGGCACATTACTTGGGGTGTGGTTTTTTTTTTTTGGGGTGGGGGGTGGCTCTTTGATTTCAATTAAATCTGTTCCTCAGTAGTGGAGAGTAATTATGTTTGTCTGAGCAAATTTGATAAACGTGTGATGCATTTAATTTTTTTCTCCAAAGGTCTGTGAAAGAGCTGCAGGTGACCACTAAAACTGATGTTTTTGCATTTGGAGTAGTTCTGTCAGAGCTCATAACTGGTCAACGTGCACTCATCCGTGACAACCGCGAGCCCAACAAGATGAAATCTCTCATCACAGTTGTAAGTCAGCTACCTGAATATCAAATCAATTAATGCAGAATAAGAAATTTGCTGACACTTAAATTGGAAAAAAACCATTTTCCTTTCTATTTCTTCCTTAAACGATTTAACAATTCTTTACCAAAACCAATCCTCATCACAATGAACCTGCTAACTTCTACTCCACTATATGGACAGGTTACCAACATATTTCAAAGTGAAGATCCAGAGGCTGCATTGGAAGCCATTATAGATGGTAATCTGAGGGGTAGCTACCCCATGGAGGATGTGTACAGGGTTAGTCTCGCTATGCATTTATTTATCTATGCCCAAAATCTCCAGCCTTGGCTATTGTGCACATAGAGTCTAAATGCCTGAATGGTGATATATGGATGCCAGTCCAATCAACTCCTACATCAAGCCTTTATTGGATTAGGTCCAAGACATTTCATATTTTGTGGCAACTATATTCTCTGGTTTGGACCCTATCTGGCAACAAAGGCAAGTAGACCATAAGTTTACAAGAACTGAATGTTGTGTGTGTGTGTGTGTGCAATAGCATAAAAAATCTCTGTGTTGGATAATTGATGAATTAATTTGGACCTGTTCCATGTGCACAACAAAAACACCATATATATAAATTTGTTGTATGCAAGGCTGCAATGCTGTTGCTTAATTACATGTCCAATATTGCAATTACAGATGGCAGAACTTGCCGAGTGGTGTCTAAGTGAAGAGGCAGTCAATAGACCAGAGATGAGAGAGGTTGTTGTGGCACTGTCTCAAATCATGGTGTCCTCAGTCCAATGGGACGCATCACTTGCAGGAAATAGTCAAGTTTTTAGTGGACTATTGAATGGACGATGAAGACTTTGGGCTCCATTTGGTTGTATTTTTTTTGAAGTACTTGTTCTTTTAAGCAAAAGGAGCAACAAATAGTGCCTCTGTTTTTTGTGATTGAAGATGTTATTTTGTGCTCGTCTTCGTTCAATTTTACATAGTTGAAAACTCTTACTTTTTTCCTATGTATTTCATGCTCCAAACTATGTATTTAATGTTTAGACAACGGTTGGCCCGGATGGTTGTGAGGGGTAACCAGTATGTCTGCATGAAAGGTCATGAATAAATAAATCCCAGTGTAATTTTACATGGGATTGCAAATTTGCTGTTATTTCTAACAACGTAATGTCTCATAACATCAGCAAATTTCGAAACATACTCATGACTACTGGTTTTAACAACAGGCTGGACATTGTGCAACTCATATCTTCTTGTTGACATACTGTCACATCAAATGAAATAATAGTTCTCAGCTTACTCTAGTTGCAGGATAATTTTTTTTTTTAATAGGAATTTTGAACTAAATTAGATCATGTAGCTTAAACTTCAGATACTTACAATTACTCATTAACCACATGTATTAACTAAACTTGGGAGTTGCTAACGAGAGTCAAACTCAAGACGTCTAAGTTTACAATTTGTCTCAAAGCCAACCCACATGGCTGGATACCCGTGCAAGCTCAAAGGGTCAATGGTGATGGCATGGAATCAGTAGCGAATATATGATCTTCAAATAAGAGAAAGTTGGTGCAGCAACCAAGAAAGGCATACATATTGGAGCCCTCTCAAGTCTCATCAAAATGCAAAAAAAATAAGAAGAACAATGCATTTATACAAGCATTCAACAAGCTAGAAAAAAACCAATGAAAATTTCGTCAGTGTCTTCACTGCCACAAAGGGAATAAGAAGGAACACAGCCAGTAACATCACCTACAAATTAATGAACTAACACTTGAAAACAGACACCACTTCTTCACTATTCTCTTTCCTACCACATGAGAAATATCTCATTAGCATTAAACCTTGAAAAACAGGCCTACATGAATTGCATATCAATACATGTGAAGAATCCAATAAACACTCTTTTTCTCCTTGTATTAACGATCATCCATCTTGTGTCTAGAGTCTTGTGCGAAGAGTTGTCATTTAAAGTCAATTCTTTCTTATTGTGATGGAATCTAAACCCCCTCACGTTGATTTAGTACTGTTGGAGATATTACAACTTAATTTATTAGTGTTTATTATAGTTTTTTTTTTTACCTTTTTATCCTTATTGTAATTTTCATTGACTATATATATGGGGGTTCTACACTTAATTTGTATCTCTTTTTCACTCACATCTATCTCAAGTTGATATCAAAGCCACCAATCCGAACCCTAACCCTAGCCTCCACCAAACAACACCCTTGCTGGTATCATCTCTGCCTACACCGTGAACACCAAAATCAGCCTACACTGACAACTGACTTCATCGGAATTATCCTCCAACATCCAACTAGCCAATCAGCAACCCCATCAAACCCAGCCAAAAAAAAATTGGCAACCCAAGTTAGCGAAAAAAAAAAACCAGACCTTCCAGCCCACAGCAACCCAACACCAACAGTAACCTAGGCACCGACTGCCCATCACCATACAGCAACCCAGGCACCGACTGCCCTATTATTCAGTCCACTCCACCGACTGACTACAAAACTAGCATCTCTCATCAAACAACAAAACCAACGACATCGATATACTACCACAAACCCCTGACAGAAACAAAAAAAACCCAGCACCGACTGCCTATCGTAACCCAACACCGATTACCTAAAATAAACAAACATCAAACCAGACGGCCTACTGTTTCAGTCCATATATAAAATTAGCCAACCTACTATCCAAACCCAGTCCTGTCCAGCCCAAACCCAATATACCACAGACTAGCCCACTGCCTACTGCCCATTGCTGGGTCACTTACCACAGACCAGTCCACTCATCAACCCACTGTCAGGTCACGATTTTTGTGACTTCGTCCTTCACATTCCTTGTCTTCGTTGATATGCTCTTGATGCAGTAGATCATTTATTTATATTTATTAGATTTCTAGGCACCGCAACGTTATTATTTGAGAGTTTTTTGAACCTTCTTTATCTGTCATTACAGTTCGACTGAAGGTATATTGTTCTCCCTTATTTTATCCCTCTATTTATCTTAGAGTTATTTTTCTGTCAAAAATGTCCTAGTATTATTGTTGTTATGGCTACTACTGAAGGATATGAGACCTCTACTCTTGAGACCTCTGCTGTTAGTACTTCCACTTGGAATGTACCTCCTGGTTCTCGTCGGTGTTATTATTGTAGCCGACCAGGTCATCTCCGGGCTACTTGCTGGAAGCTCTATCCAGAGCTTAAGTCATTTCCTCGCAGCCGTACTGCTACTGTTGTTGAGGTACCACCACCTACTGTCGTTGTTCATGTTGCAACTCCTCCTTGGCAGAGTGACATGGATGCTATCATTTTTCGATTGGAAATACTTATGTCTGCTCTGACTTCTTAGAGTCCGACTACTGTTACTGCCACCACTACAGGTATACCTCGTGCCTTTCATGCTTGCGCCAGTCCATCTCCCTTTTGGATGCTAGACTCGGGTGCAAATGGTCATATGACAGGTGAGACCCATCATTTCACCACTTTTGATGAGCAGTTACATACACAGGTTCAGCTAGTAGATAAGACACACGCCTCTATTGTTAGTAAGGGTACAGTCCACCTCCCAGATGACTTTACATTACATTCGATTTTTCATGAGTCAAAATTGGTCATGAATCTATTATCCATACATCAGTTAGCCAAAGATTTTTACTATGCGGTTGTGTTTTTATCTGATTTATGTTATTTGCAAGACTTGAGTACCAAGATGATTATTATTATGGGACATGAGAGAGATGAATTGTATTATCTAGGCGATCCACCACTAGTTTTACCAGTTCCTCCACCTCCACCTCCATCTCCACCACCACCACCTGCACATACTTTGTCTTTATTTGTTCCTAGCTTGCATGCTAGTATCTTGCCTAATACTTGTCGTTATAATTTTTAATCACAAACTGTTCAGTTGTGGCATGATCATTTTGGACATACAAATTTTAAATATTTATGTATGTTATTTCCTACTTTGAGCAATGTTTGTGTTGGTGGTAAATTTGACTGAGTTATATGTTCCCTATCCAAACATGTTCGGACCAGTTATATTCCTCGTATGCACCAGTCACCAAAGCCATTTGACCTAATACACTCTAATATTTGGGAACTTTCTCCTGTTACTGCTTTGTCAGGTGCTCGATACTATGTGACATTTATAGATAACCATACCCGTTGTACTTGGATCTACCTTTTGCATAGGAAGTTTGATGTGCTCCTTGTCATCACACAGTTTCTCCAGATAATTAAGACACAATTCGATGTCATTGTTCATGTTCTTCGTTCTGATAATGCCAAAGAATATGTGTCTGATGCCTTAGCATTTCACCTTTCCTCTTAGGGTATCCTTCAGCAGCTCACTTGTCCATATACTCCTGAGCAAAATGGAGTTGCTGAAAGAAAAAATTGGAGTCTAATAGGGAATGGTACGTTGTATGCTTAGAGGTATGGGGGTACCAAAATCTTATTGACATTTTGCTATTTTGACTTCTACTTTTCTATGTAATCGTACACCGAGTCGTTTTTTTTAGCATAGAGCTCCCTTACAGGTCTTATTTCCTGAGCGGACACTTTTTTCGGTTCCCTCTCGTGTTTTTGGCTGCACATGTTTTGTTAAGGATCGGTCTCCTACTCGCCAGAAGCTTGGTGATAAAACGATTCGTTGTGTCTTTGTGGGCTATTGTTATCAGTCTAATGGATATCGGTATGATGATCATATCAGGCGCCGTATGTATCACAGTCTAGATGTTACCTTTCTTGAGCACATTCCTTATTTTTCTTCCAGTCCTGTGTCTGCCCCTCTAGTTGATGATATTCCCTTTGATTTTTCGTTACCGCAGGAGCCAGAACCATTGGTCACTATCAATACAGAGTCATCAGTCTCTCCTTTTTTAGAGTCACTCGTCCCTATCAGTACATAATCATTAGTCTCTCTTCCTTTGCAGGTTTATATTCGTCGCCCTCGCTCTCATCCCCCAACTGATGTCCCTTCTACCTCAAGCGATGTAGGTAATACTTTTCAGTTCGTTGAGCAGATTGATGCACCTATTGTTACAACTGATGAGATTGCATGTACTGAGCCGATTATTTTCCCTGATGAGACATTGTCAGTGGAGGATGATGATTTAGGACGTTATTATCCGAAACGTGATCGTCATCCAGTTGTTCGTTATGGTTGGACTATCAGGGCTTTATATCCGATCTCTGCTTATGTGTCTTATGGTAATTTGTCTCCTACATTTCAAGCTTATAGTATGACCTTATTAGATACGCCGATTCCTCGCTCTGTTTCAAAGGCTATGAGGGAGCCCCAGTGGATTCTTACCATGCAGACGGAGATGGACGTTCTTCAACGTAATCATACGTGTGACCTTGTCTCTTTACCTTCAGGGGTGAAGCCTGTTGGCTGTCGCTGGGTTTACACCCTAAAGTTTCTTGCGGATGGTACTATTGGTCGTGATTTTGGTGCTACTTTTGCCCCCGTGGTAAAATTGACTACTGTTCGAATGATTATTTCTCTACCTGCGGAGTACTCTTAGCCTCTTCATCAGTTGGATGTGAAAAATGCATTTCTTCACGGTGATCTGGATGAGATTATTTATATGGATGCACCACCGGGCCTTCGTGGTGAGGGGGAGTATGCCGGAAAGGTGTGTCGACTGCGTAAGTCTCTTTATGAACTAAAACAGTCACCACAAGTTTGGTTCTCTCACTTTAGTGATGTAGTTGTACGTTTAGGGTTTACCAGATGCCATTCTGATCATACCTGCTTCATTCGACGGAAATACTTCTGGACAGTGTGTCATCCTTTTGATATATGTTGATGATATTATCATTACTGGAGATAATGTTTCTGGAACTGCGAATGTCAAGGTAGACCTTGGGAAGACCTTTGATGTAAAGGACTTTAGATTTTTGCGATACTTTTTTATGATTGAGGTTGCCCGTAGTAGCAGGGGTATTGTTCTTTTTCAGAGAAAGTATGTTCTGAATCTTCTCTCAGACACTGGAATGCTAGGATGCAAACCGGCATCATCACCCATAATTCCAAACCTGAAGCTTACTGCTAAAAGTGAGGAGTTGTGGTAGGTAGACTTATCTACCTAGCCAACACTAGGCTAGACATTTCATTCGCTGTCAGCCGAATTAGTCAGTTCATGCACAAATCATGTCAACTTTATCTTGATGCAATTTATCATATTCTTCGGTACCTCAAGTCTTGTCTTGGACTTGAGTTATTCTATGCATCAGGATCTCAGACTGGTTCTCTAACCTGTTATTTAGATTCAGATTATGGGAGAGCATGTGACGGTTGATCTACTACTGGCTTCTGTGCTATTCGAGAGACTCATTTTATCTCTTGGAAGAGCAAGAAACAATCAGTTGTCTCCCGCTCGTCAGCAAAGGCAGAGTATCGGGCACTGACACTTGGCACATGTGAGATTATTTGGCTACGATCGATTCTTGGCGAGTTGAGATTTTCAGTGACTTTTTCATCTATATTATATTGTGATAATCGATCTGATATTTAGCTCGCTTTTGACTCTGTATTACATGAGAGGACGAAACATATAGAGATCGATGTTCACTTTTTTTGGGAGAACGTTAACAGTGGTATTGTCACTCCATTGTTTGTGGGGACCAGTGATCAGGTTACAGATGTTTTCACCAAATCTGTCACTCTATCCATTCTTCGGGACTCCGTTGTCAAACTTGATTTAGTTGACATTTTTACGTCTACCTTGAAGAGGAGTGTTAGAGATATTACAACTTAATTTATTAGCGTTTATTATAATTTTTCTTTTTTGCCTTTTTACCCTCATTGTAATTTTTATTGATTATTTATACGAGAGCTCTACACTTAATTTATATCATTTTTTCACTCACATCTATCTCAAGCAGTACTTATCTCACTTTTAAGCTGAAAGGAAAACTGACTATGAATCATACCGTCACTTTTTATATAAACCCAGATTTCCAATAAATTTTTGCTCTAATCTAACAATTAGTGCTTGGGCAAACCATACTATACTACGAAAGTGGGCTTAAGTCTGTTTGAGGATTCAGTTAATAGCCCAATTAAATGACGAAAACAGAGAAGCCCATAGCCCAACGAAATTACGAAAATAAGAAGAGATCTTACCAATTCCTCACGGAAATATTATACTTTACCCCTCAATAATAATTCTATTTTCACATTATTCCCTAACTATCACATCTTTTATACTGTGCATTCAACTATATGATTAATTTCATGGTGCCCAACTCATTAACGACCTCTTATTTCTTTCTTAATGTTGTAGAAGGGAGCCAAGCTCGTTTTTTGCTTTCTCTATTGATAGATCTTAGGCTCTCATGTCGTCGTTTTAGTGACTCATGAGACTTCCATTGGATTAATTTTTTTAGTTCTTGCGAATAGTTGTCACATCTCTTAGGACTGGAATGATTATTCCTACCCAATGGTCTAAATCCATCCTTGAATAGTGTCAGGTACTATTAATTTCTCTGTCATTTTGGTAACTGTTATCCGTCATCCGTGTAAGTGTGGTTACAATGACAACTTTTGCTCTAAAGTATGCATTTCTTTCACTTTGTTCGTGTCACGTATAACAAATGTTTACTTGTAGGATAATGTTAAAATTAATTTAAGTAGTTAAGGAAATAATGTGACAAAATTTAATACTTTAAGAGTCAAATTGAAATTGAATATACAATTAGAGGGATAAAAGTGTAATTGTCCCCTTCCTGTAAATGCCGATGATTGAGCTCAAGCTCCATTTCTATTTCCATCTCCATTCATTTCAAAACAACAAAAAACCACAGATAGTTCAACACATCATTCTCTATAATGTTTCAATTTCAAAGAATAACACCTAAATGTAGCAAAAAACCCTACAAACGCCTTGAATTACGGAAATAGCAGCAGATCTCGTCAGTCTCTCACAACGCTGATTTGATCTGATCTCCGATCTCGGAATCCGAAACCCTAGGTTCGATGGCAGGGGCTGCCTCGGCACTGTTCCTTCTAGATATCAAGGGCCGCGTTCTGGTGTGGCGCGACTACCGTGGGGATGTCTCAGCCGTTCAAGCCGAAAAATTCTTCACCAAGCTCATCGAGAAAGAGGTTTGCACTTCTTTTTTCAATCTGTTCGATGATTTCCGCCGAGGTTTTGGCAATTTCTTTTGAAATATAGGTTGCATATTTCTGGATTACATTGGATTGAAACGATTTTCACTTAAAAATGAATGCAAACTATTTGAAAAAAGGATAAATTCAGGAGCTACACGGTTATATTAAGTTGATTTGGATGCAATTTGGTGACGAATTGATGTGTTTAAGTTAAGCTTATAAATAATATCTGTGTTTACTCGATCCGTTCATTTGTTATTTTTGAAAAGTAACTACTTGATTTCAAGGAGCAAAGTTGGCTGAAACTGAGGTGTTTCTGGTTCTTGTGGTACTTTGATCTAATTCAGGGTGATCCTGAGTCTCAAGATCCAGTTGTGTACGATAATGGCGTCACGTATATGTTTATACAGCACAACAATGTGTATCTAATGACTGCATCGAGGCAGAACTGCAATGCCACGAGCCTTCTTCTATTTCTACACCGTGTTGTTGATGTAAGCGATATTGGGTAACTAAAGATCTTCTCTTTAGGTTATGATCGTTAAATCATTCGTTTAATTTTAATGCATTATTAACAATGCTTTCTTTTCTTATTGGTTAGGAGATTTCTGTCCTTGAGTGTAAGTTAATTTTTTGTGGCAGGTCTTTAAACATTACTTTGAAGAGTTAGAAGAAGAATCACTTAGAGATAACTTTGTTGTAGTGGTAAGGGGATTTACTTAAAAGGATTTCTCTACCTCTTTTCTATTTTCAATTTGAATTAGGAATTTAATTGCAACCGGGAGACAAATCATCTTTTGATTGTTATCATGCTGATCTTTTGTTTCGTTGGCAGTATGAATTACTTGATGAAATGATGGACTTTGGTTACCCTCAATATACCGAAGCAAAGATTCTTAGTGAGTTTATCAAGACTGATGCTTACAGAATGGAAGTTACACAGAGGCCTCCCATGGCCGTAACAAATGCAGTGTCATGGCGCAGCGAAGGAATACATTACAAGAAGAATGAAGTAGGTTTTTTCTTGTATGTCTTGTAACTAATCTGTGGTGCCAATGAATTATATGCTTTTGCATTATCTATACAGGTATTTTTGGACGTTGTGGAGAGTGTTAATATACTTGTCAACAGCAACGGTCAAATTATTAGGTCAGATGTTGTTGGGGCGTTAAAGATGCGAACATATTTAAGGTTTGTTATCCACATTAATCACAAGTAATTTGTATTAGTAATGCTGAAATTTTCTTAGTTGAATGTCTCTATTCTAATTAGTTGACCTAGGCGTGCTGAGGTTTCGTAGAGTAGAGGTTAGGCTTTACTTCTATAATTCTGCCGTGAGGTTCAACTTCATGCTATATGTTAACAAAATAAGCTTAGAAAGGGGTATGCATATTATTATGAGTATTGATCACTTAAATTTCTGAGTTTGAGGTGCTCGATTCATATTTTATGAACAATTCCCTATTTAAGGGAATAAGAATAATAGTTTTATATTTTCTTTGTATGTATGCATACTGTCTGTTTCTTAATTATTTGGACTAAGGTGCTTGCTGCACTCTTAAAGCTGCTGAATACTGTAGCTTTTGTTCTTGCTTGTGCGGCTGCCTGTTTTTCTGGTTTGTCGATGAATACCCCTTACATCCTTCCATTTTGCTGAAAAATCCAACAGCTGGGAAACTGTCAATGCGATTGTGGTGGTCCCTGTAACTGGTTTATCAAATTATACTCCTTACATCCATCCATTTGGCTGAAAAATCCAACAACCAGAAAACTGTCAATAATAGTATGGTTGTCCATGTAATATTGATGTCTGAAGTGTGTCTCGTATCAAAGTTTCTTGGTTTTCACCTGAGCTTCATATTCTATACTGATCATTTTCTGAAAGGTGTAATCTTGATGCTCCATCTATTGCAGTGGCATGCCTGAGTGTAAGCTTGGGTTGAATGATAGAGTGTTATTGGAGGCGCAGGGACGGTCAAGTAAGGGAAAAGCCATTGATCTGGATGACATTAAATTTCATCAGTAGGTAGCCTAACTCTGGGTTTGATTGTATTCAGCTGTGATTATATTTAGTGAAACCAATGGTTAAAGTTTCTTATATATTGGGAGCAAATATTGTGGGTATTGTGGGTTTTTTGCCGTCTAATACCTACTTTTTGTTCAGGTGTGTTCGTTTGTCCCGCTTTGAAAATGACCGGACAATCTCCTTTATACCTCCTGATGGATCTTTCGATCTCATGACGTATAGACTCAGTACTCAGGTTCTCATTATTGTTTTAGGACATAATATTTCCAGTCTATTTTTTCTGGTTTTCTTCTATCAAATTGCTTTGTTTATAAAGTTGATCAGACTTACAATTCACTTTCAGGTAAAGCCTTTGATATGGGTGGAAGCACAGGTTGAAAGACATTCTAGAAGCCGTATGGAAATAATGGTAAAGGCCCGCAGCCAGTTCAAAGAGCGTAGGTAAGTTTATTATCTTGTAACAATGCAACTGTATCTTTAAAAATTTGCAAGTTCACTCATACCTTGGTTTGACTCCACAGCACTGCAACAAATGTTGAAATTGAGTTGCCTGTACCATCTGATGCCACCAACCCTAATGTTCGGACATCAATGGGATCTGCTGCTTATGCTCCTGAAAATGATGCATTGAGGTGGAAAATAAAATCGTTCCCAGGTGGTAAAGTAAGAGTTCTACAAATTACTTGTGCACTCTTTCCATCATCTGTTAGTGGACATCAATAGTAGCAGATTTAATATGGTTTCTTTGTGAAATTACAGTTAAGATATGGTCTGATTCCTATGACACTAAATTTGTTTAGGAATATATGTTGAGAGCTGAGTTTACCTTTCCAAGTGTAACTGCTGAAGAAGCAATTCCTGAGAGAAAAGCTCCTGTACGTGTGAAGTTTGAGATACCGTATTTCACAGTTTCAGGAATACAGGTATACCCTCTTTGATGTTGTGGCTTTGCTCTTAAATAGGACATTTTATGTTGTTGTCTTGATATCTGCGCTGATTTAAATGCAAGACTTAATCTTGGTGCTTTCTCTACTTTTCCGTGCTTATATGTGAGAAGTGAACTATTAGTTCTGTAAATTAAGGTCACAAAATTGTTTTTAGTTTAGTTGAAGTTTTGAATCTTTGGATTATATTAATTGATTGCGGTGGAACACTCTTCGATCTTTTTTCTTTTTTGATAGGAAACGGAAAGCCTTTGTTATGAAGTGTACATCAAAATGGTTGGATAATCTTACCCAACCAATAAAAATAAAAGCATAACCAAAATAAGGAAATACATAAACTGCCTATATATCACCTGAAGCTCTCCATCCTGGAAAAATTGCAAAAAGCGGGATGAAATCCTTAGTAACCAAAGCGCAAAATGATGCCAAGAAATTATCACAAGCTGCTGGGGAAGAAGCATTTCATCCTGGTATATCTATAAGGCCTTAAGTGACTTCAACAGCTTTGCACCATCACTGGTCACTTGGGCAATATTTTTATCCTCCCCCCCCCTCTCTCTTCTCTCTCTCTCTCTCTCTCTCTCTCGGTATGTAGCTGGCCAGTACTGCTGATAAATAAAAGCCAATAACATTTGATTGCGATCAGCTTGCAAACTCTAAGCCAAATCTCATAATGGTGTTTTGCATACAAAAGGACAGAGGGGCCATAATACAGGATGGGGATGTCTACCACTTGAATGTATATCTCAATCTGATGCTCCCCCATTGACTGATTGGTTGATTGATGAACTGGGGAATACAGTTTCGATCACATGCAAGACCACTTTGTTTCTAGAGCTTTCAACTTGGTAACAAACTGATAAACCCTTATTCGAACCAAAGTTTTCCACTTCCCTATGGTCATCCTGAACGGTTGTGGGAAACCATTCCATCACGGTATCACCTCTCTTCAGTTGGGCATCAAATGTACCATCCTGCTTTATGCATTGAGGGCAGAAACACTCTGGAACTGTTGGGAAGGAAGGACCTTTGATTGATTGTTCTTGTATTCTCTGCTAGATGTGGTTGTCAGGCTAACAAACTGCATGTTGCCTTGCACCCGTCCCTATCATGAGAAACTGCCAGTATGTGCATATTTTGCTACTTGTTACTATACCAGAGCCTGTCACTTCCTTTGTCCTCTGTTCAATTTTCCTAGGTTACCTCACCATTGGAGACTTCGATGGGTACGAAAGTCTGTTGGGGTGGTAAAAAATTGCTGGGAAAGTCTCGTCCTCAATGGAGCCTTACTGACTTTGATTTCTCAAATTTATTGAGGAACTGCTTTGGTGAATTTGCATAGTGATGGAAGTTGCTGTTTAATTGTGCCACCTTTTGCTAGTTTGTTTTGAACATAACAACCATGCATAGACATTTTAATTCAAGATTATGTGAATCATGGGGTTTTGTAGGTTCGTTACTTGAAGATCATTGAGAAAAGTGGCTACCAGTCTCTTCCGTGGGTGAGATACATAACAATGGCTGGTGAATATGAATTGAGGCTTATGTGAAAAGTCACTCCCATAATTTGGTCTTCCATTATCAACAATATTTAGAGCCTCGGGTATTTTGGTACCTCAACTGGATAAATTGAGTGTTGTGGGGGAATTAATAGTACCTATTCAACGTGGCGCTGGTTGAGCTAAGCTATAGATTCATTTGCCATTCATGTTTATGTACAATGTTGGTTTTTGGCCAGAGGTTTGTAATAGTCGGTGGTTACTTGCAATATTCATTTGCTGCCTGCTTGTGAAAATCATCTTCTTTCTTCTGAAATAGTTGTTTGCTTCTTGTACTTTGTTGGAATTTGTTCAATCTACCTGTTTGACGTGTATTTCCTCCTGTTTTCCCTTTCTTTTCTTTTGTTTTTCCTATCCTATTTTTCACCTCCCTCCCTCTGCCTCTGTCTCTTTTTCTTGCTACTAGAGCTGTGGAAAGCTAAATGAGAATGCTCTAATGGGAGATTAGCTGACTTCATCCTCCGAAAATCATGTGGTGTTTGGGATTGCGTTCTTTGCAAAATACAACCTGAAGTACAAGCACACATTGCACATTAATTACTATACCCCCTTTGATGTATTCAAAAAAGTTTGAGACTCACTCAGTACAATTGAGCAGATAATCTTTGCAACAAACTTGGTGAAAATTTATTAAAACACTCTTATTTTGTTCACTTTGGAAATGATTGAAACGATTGAGCAGAAGGTTGATGTATTAGCTGAGCCTCCAATCTCTCTCTTACAAATCTATAATCTAGAAGAGTTTGTACACTGAAAGTGCATAAAAAGAAAGGGACAAGAAGAAAGAGAGAAAAAAAGGGGAGAAACTTCACATTTACAAAACTTCTAGGTGTAGTGTATCATGTGATACAAAACTATTGGAGCACTTCGTTTGGTATTGGTATTGTTGGCAGAGTCTTCCTAAATACATGCTTTCTGCAACGTTCAAAAATGCTGTCATATATCAGATCAAATTGAACTCCTGCCCTCTCCCGATTCACAATGAAAAGAATGTGGTCACCCTCCACAATCTTGTAATACCTGCATTCAAACACGTGTAAATTTTATTTCAGCTCATCGAATTAACTTAACCAATGTCAACATTTTCTTGCTCGGGAAAAAAATAGAATCATGATATTAATTTTATTTTGTTTGGGTGACTGTTGAAAGCTTCGTAATGTACCATCTGCAAAAAGCATCTTGAAAAATCCCTTCAATATGACCAAGCAAATCATCAAGAAAAGTGCTCGCATGCTCACCCACCAACCAAACAACACTTGAGGAAGACAGAGAAGCTATTACCTGCTAAAAAACCTAGGAAGCACTGGATGCGGATATGGGTATGATACGGATATTAATATGGCGATACAACAAAATCCAAAAAAATAAGATACAAATACGGCCAAGATACATTTATAAATATATATTTTATATTTTTACTATTATATAATGGCTTAATAACTATAATTTTTAGTGATTCTTTAACAATAATAAATAACATTAACAATTTTTTATTTTTAAAAAGTTAGCTATCGTCTCACTGTAGTTCATCTACAAAGTGAATGTGATAAATTAAAGGAATAAAAATTAACACTTAACTATATTGTTTGCTTAGAAATATTTGTTGTTAAGATTATAGAGTAATCAACTCATTTAAACTTTTTACTTGGAAGACACATGAATTTTTCTTGATTTATTGCACTATATGTGAAATCAAGAGGAATGGGGTAAAGATTAAAATTAAAAAATTACACATTTTTTTTTGTATATCAGAAGTATCCGCGAAATATTTATATATTTTATTTATTATTGACGTGTATTCAACGAATATTGTATCCAATACGAATACGTTAACCTTATCAAAGTATATGTGTTTCATAGCTAAACACTCCCTCATATATTGTCAACACTAGAATGAGATGCACGACAAACCTTGGCCATTTCTCGAGCCAACAGAAGCGAACAAACGCTCATGTTGATTGATTCCATTATTGTGTGTTTGAGATACTTTAATAAATCTTCCATAACCATTAACATATGATATGCTATGGGTAATTTGAGCAATGTAGGCAAAGAAAAGTTATGTGACATACCAGATGCCTGGTTGCAAGGGCTGGCATTCAGAATCTTTCACGACGAGATGACACGGGTGTTGAATTGGGATACGAGGATGTGTCATTGATATGGTATTAAGTGCTCCATCATTATCCCACCAATCTTCATCCCTGCATGTGTACATACATGAAACATGAGCCATGACAGTGTACAACTCAAGGCATTAGATTTTGATTTCAGTAGCAATTGGTGTGCCAGTAAAAATCAGAAGAAAATTTTCAAAATGCTGGCAGAGTTGAAATGACTGAAACAATGGAGATGTCACAATGGTTAGCATTTAGCAAGATAACGAAAGCTTCTTAGAGAGAAGATATATATATATATATATATATATATATATATATATATATATATATAATCAACTTCAAAATAGCAGTTTTAGCAATTAGCTCGGATCTAGAAAGTATGGAAACAGGATAAGGATACGATACAACTACGACGATATGACAAAATATGAAAAAATAGGATATGAGTACGATTAAGATACATAAATAATAAAATATATTTTATATTTTAATATTATTTCACGACTTAAGCATCATTATTTTTAATAATTATTTAAAAATAGTAAGCAAAATTAGTAATTTTTACTTTAAAAAATGTATAATATTATTTCATTATGATATATCCATAAAGTGAACGTGAACAATTCAAGAAATCATAATCAATATTTAACTAGCTGGTTATTTTACAAGTACTTGTTTCTAATAGTGTAATTAATTAATTTTTTTACACTCTTTTGACATGTAATAGTAGACGATACTTAAAAAACACCCGTGTCTTCAAAATCAAATGGAATTTTATAGATGTATTGTATTGTGTGTGAACTCAAAAAGAGAGGGTATAAATTAAAATTAAAAATTGTGCATCTTGTTCCATGTGTAGAAGTATTCACAAAGTATCTGTATATTTTATTAATTATCGAATACATATGATACATATTCGATACGTATCTTTAAATATCCGACAAATATAGTATCCGATAAGTGTACGTTGACTTTCACAAAATATTCGTACTTGGATTATATGCAAAAGGGGTGACATCTAAGGGAAAAATCATGAAAATCAACATTTGTTTGGGGTAAATATGAAAATCGAATTACAGGGGAAAAGGACAGAGCAATTGGGAACACACCTATAGCCTTTGTAAGGGGGAGAAACATCTGGAGGATGAGACCACTGGCTCATCTGCAAGACTCTGATGAAAAGCAAAGGGTGGACTCCAAATATGCCAGAAGGAACTGTAACACCCATGATTTTCCTTGTACGCTTAGTAGCATAGCTGAAGTAGTATGTATTGGGAAATGTACATAAACGGCTGTTCAGTCTCATGGATCCTTGAATTGTAAGATCTGGAAGAATCCAATCTCCCGTAGCAAAAGGACCAGTATTCCCTAAGAGGCAATCAACAAGACCCCAAACACCAATCTTCTTCCATGATAGGTTGTAGTGATCAAACCCAAAATTGTAATAGGCCTTTAGCCAGGGGATGTCAAACCAATCATATATTAACACCCCTATGCGGCACAGCTGAAGCAGGCTAATGGGTTTCAATGATATCCCATCTTCTGGCCTGTGTAATAGATTGAAGTTATGGAGAGAAATTTAAAAGTTCATAAATTAGATAAGAAATGGACATGGATACTTGCAAAAACTCACATGAATATACATGAGTACTTTCACATTTTACATCTTAAGTGCATGAAACGCAACTCTTGAATCGTCAGATGAGTTATTAAAAGAAAAAAGTCAAAACATTTGAATCTATCACGCATTCCATTTATTATTTGGAGTTTTCACAAAAAATGGGCCCGTGGTTTGCGTATAAAAACATAGTACCCGAAAATTGCTAATAAAAAAAGTTTAAGAAAAGTATTTTTTGTGTCATAAAATATGTATAGTTATATGATTCTAAAATCAGTTCAATGGAATGGAAAACAACAACCTAAAAAACAATAAAAATAAAAATGTGGTGGTGGTGGTGGTGATGGTGGAAGTGAACGTAGATGTAGCAGTGGTGGAAATGTGGTGGTGGTGGTTGTGATGGTGGAAGTGTGGAGGTGATGGAAGGAGGGTGGTGGTGGTGTTTTTTAAGTTCTGGAAAAATTGTTTTCCAAAACACACAAAACAGTCCTAACTTGTTATGCAAAATTATCCACTTTTTGTTCTCAATTTTAAAAAAAACAAAAACACAAAACAACTAGCCAAATAACTTTTATCACATAAATAGTTTTTGAAAATAGAAAAACAGTTTGTGAAATGCAAACCATACAGGCCTTGATTTCTCTATTTCACGCAGTATGTGAAATTCAAAAGAGATAAAGAGAGAAAGAGTGATGCTCATGAACAATTTGCATGTAATGAACTTACTGCATTCCATCTAAGTAGGTTCTTGTAGTCCCATTGAAGGCTCCGGATAATGCTGTTATACTTAAGACCCAGTTCTCAGAAGTGTTTTCATATCCCTTGAATGCCTGAATTTACAATGAACATGCTTTTTATACACCTAGAAAATTCCCATTTTTTGTGAATCTGTTAACTAATCGAATGTAACCAGACTATGAGACTAACCTTGTCTGCAAGCATTTGCTGCAAAACCCGGACAACCTGTGCACCAGCCGAGTGCCCAACAAAGTGAACAGGGTGATCCTCATCCCATTCAGGATAGTGCCCTGCATTCCAATTACACCAACCAATAAGGCAAATTAGTAGATTAGAGTTCTCAATAACTGGTGAAAGTGAAATAGGAGACCTCAAACTATCATACGAGACTAGAGAATAGAAAGAAGGGACAGGCGCCCAAGCAAGAAAGGGTTCAATGAACACTTTAGTTTACGATGCATAGTTTCCAACTAGAAAAGAAAGGCAAAAACCCTACTTTAGAGGTATAGGTTGTAAAGAGAGGTTGCTATGGAGTACTGTCCTAGGATGGGGACGGCAGACAATAATAGAAGTCGATTGTAATACCGTCATCGTCTTATTGTGGTGAGTGTAAACCCGAAAGGGCAGGTACTTTAGATCAACGACTTGCTGCCTTGTATATATATATATTAGGGTAATCCGTATCTGAAGGTACGATACGAAACAATATAAGTGAAAAGTGATAGATTTAGAGGGGGAAATGTAGGTGGTTTTGAGAGGGATGTTGGTGGTCGTTGAATGAGTTTATTTGAGATCATCAGATTAATTTATATATTATATATATAAAACTACAGTCAAATACAACTAGTCCACTTAAATAAATAAAATTGAGGTTAAAAGTAGGTTAAAATGCAACCTTGTTCATAAATCCGCCCAAACTGGGAGTGGCCACAAGCCTTGCTGTGTTCTTCACCATAATCTACTTGACCGCCCTTCAAATAATAGAACAATTCGCGAGCCCTGAAACCTAAAACCTCTTAACTTTTGCAAAAAAACTAATACAGAAACAAGAACAAACCAAGAAAAGCACAAGCTGTAGAGAACTCAAGAATAAACTAAAAGCATTGAGATTTTAAGTACCAACCTGTCATGTATGCTAGTTAATGAACCTAAATCAGGCACAAGAACCCTGTCATCCTTCTTCTCGGCCCCAGCAAAATACGAAAGACCTCCCAACCTCTGAAACATCAATTGCAAAATCAAAACCCATAAAAATATTTATCCAGAAATCAATCAGAAAAGACCCAAAAATCCAATTCAATACAGATTGCTAAGATTACTTACCCCTTTGCCAAACCCAAAGATTCCATGAACCAACACAATGGGAGGCAGATCACCAGCAATGGTCAATCCCCTTGACTCGTCTTCTTCCAACCTTGTATCCAGAATGGGATTGGAAAACCAACCATTCAAACCCTGTGAAAGATCACCAGCCACAGCTGTGCTGAATATGTAAAACCCATATAGCAAATGAACCACAGAGCTCACAAATAGCTCTGTTAATTGCAGCGCAGACACCCACCATCTAATCATTTTGTAACCAAAAAACTACTAATCAAGAGCTTAATTTGTATTTTATGTATGTAAATACAGAGCAGAGCCTTCTTCAGGAGAAAGGAAGAAGGCTCTGATGAACAAAATTTCAACCTTTGAACACAATCAAAATCCTCATCAAACCCTTCTCTGATGAACAGAAGGGGTGAGAAAATTGGCAAGTGTAGATGTTTTGTTTAATGGGATTGTTTAGAGCTTTGGGTCTTTGAAAATGGTTTCCCACATTTTCCTCATTGCTTACCTTTCACAACAAAAGTCACAACTCACAACCAATGGAAAGGTTGGTTCGGGTTGGTGCCACGTGCCGTAGTTATATCCGCTCCTAGAAATTCTATGCACATGGTGGAACCAACCGGCAAGGACAAATGGAACCAAAATAGGGGATTAGGATTTCACGTACAAATAAACAAGTTTAAGGATTTGATTGAGACGTATTTATAAATAATTACAAAATCATTTGAACAAATGTCGTAGAAGGATTATTTTTTTGTGTTACATAATATTTAAATTTGTGCCGATTATTTTTTTAAAACTCTAAACAATTTTAAAATGCCTTTTAATTTTTTGCTTTTTGGTCATTAAAACGTCTTTTTATTAGTGATGAATAATTTGGTCAACAGTTCAAAAACGACTCAAATTGCTTTAATTGATAAATTAGCTCGTGGCTTGTTGTTGTGCATATATTTATATAGAATATCATCAAACTTACCAAAAAATTTATTAAATTTTATTTATCAAATTATTGTATATTTATGGGATCTATGAATTTTATCAACTTTTTCAAGTAACACTCATTGATTCAACTGTTTATTTTTATTTTGGAAATATTTTTTTCTAAATATTTTGGTATGTACATTATAAAAGATTTCACCTTAGTAGTTTTTTTTTTTTTTTTTTTTTGTAATGGGGTAAATCTCGATTCTGTCGACAGCGAGTAGAGACGCATTAATGTCACTTAGAGCAACTCCAAGGGGGAGTGAGATCAAGGGTGGCAACCCTATATACCACCCAAAATTCAAAAATTTTCACTCTAAGAGACTGACATCAAAGCTTGGAAAATAGTATCAAAGCTCTTGGGGGACATTTTTGGCAACTCTGAAGAGAGAAAGAGAGAGGTTGCAAATTAATTGATGAATATAGATCCGTTAAATGAATATAAATTCAATAATTTATATAAATTGATGAATAAAAATATGAAAATGACACCTAATTTTGACACCTATCATTGGAACAGATTTTTAATTCAAAAATATAAAAATACTGTTCAAGATTGTAAATGAGTGATTTGACACTCCAAAATAACAATTTTCTTTGGAGTTGCTATTAGGCTCGTAAGCCTGAGTAAAATTGAGAATACATTTCAATTGTATGAATTGATCCATCAAATCATACATCAATTAAATCAACACTTGAGTGTTGCTTGAGTAGTTGATTTTATCCTAAAAAGGGCCAATATTTTAGGGATAAATTCTGAATTAGGGATACGACTTGGTGAAGAATCCAAAGGTGACTATATTTTAGGGATAAAAAAAGGGTGTAAAGTGGAATTAGATGGAGATTATTCTAGTAGGCGTTACTTTCCAAGTAAAATGTGCTGTATCAGATCTGGAAGGTTCCTTCCTTGCCGACCTAACTCTCAAACGGCCCCACCCCTTTTTTTCTTTTGCTGGTTACGGTCCCACCCTTATCCGTATCATCTTGTCCTCCCAAAATGGCTATATTAAGAGCCTTGACCAGGGTTGTAATTTGGGTTGATTAACTCGATTTTAATTCTAGTCTATCTTAAAAAAATTTAAGATTTGGATAAGAGTTTTTAATATTTAGGTTAGTCTTGGGTTAAGGTCTTGAGTGCACGGGTTCTCTCTAGTTTATTTTTATTTTTGTTCTAGCATTAACACTGTTAAAATTTTAGTTGAAGTTATTGGTTGTTAATATAGGTAAATATTATGTAATATATGTATAGGTTTAGAACAACAAGTCTATTTTAGACTCTATCTGAACTCAATCCGAATTAAACCCTTAAAATAACCCGAAATTATTAATCCGAATTAAACCCGAGTCCGCTCGAATTAAACTCGGGCAGTGTTCGGGTTGAGTTTCTCAATCCGAAGTAGGATTAGGGTTAAAGTTAGAGTTAAAGATATATAACTAGGGTTGGGCTAAGGTTAACTGTCCAACCCGCCCGAGTTACACTCCTAGCCTCGCCTCTATGGAATCTGGAGCTCACTTCCACATTATAAAAGTTTTTTTTTTCAATTATAAATCAGCTAAATTATGATTTATTAGGATAACCCATGTTTGAAAGTACGGTGTAATGTAAGTAAGAATTGATAGATTTAAGAAAAATAAAAGTTTAATGTGAATAATTTTGAGAGAGATATTGATAACCGTTGCATGAGTTTATTTGAAGTTATCAGATCAATTTATTGAAACATGTCTGTTTTATATTATAAATTATAAAAAATTTCATTTTTTGTCATTCAAATTTATGACGAGAGTAAATAAGAAATGGATATGGATAAGATGGGATCATCACAAATCCATTTTCCATTTATATTTCAACATAGGATATTGATGAACTTGAACATCCGATGAAATTTTACATTATTTCTCTCAAAGTAAAACATCATCATCTAGACTGTACGCACCATTTTTATGGTATTGTTTAATTAATATTTTTTATAGGGAAAATTTCAACCACACCCTCTCTAGTTACCGTATCTTTAAAGACACCTCCTCTAATTTTTGAATCTTTAATGACACCTCTTATCAGATTAAAAATATTAAGTAAAATGCAATTTTACTAAATTGTCTATGATATATTTAACAATAAACTTCATCCACACCCATCTAGATAAACATATCTTCAATGAGACCCTCTCTAGATAAGTATATTTTTAATGAGACCCCCTCTGTTTTCTAATTTTTTTTACGTAATTAAATTCGAACCGATTAAAATTTGATTTAAGTTAATTAAAATTTATTTTTTTACATATTAAATTTTTGCCAATTAAAAGTTATATTGTTTGACGTATTAGAGTTTGTGCTAATTAAAATTTCGTTTGAGCTAATTAAAAATTATTTTTAATCGACTCAAATCAAATTTTAATTAATTCGCATTGAATTTTAATCAGCCCAAATTTTAATATATAAAAATATATGAATTTTAATTGACTTAAATTTTAATAAATCTACTTTTAATTGACATAAATTTTAATAAGTAAAAAAATATAAATTTTAATCGATTCGAAAGAGAATTTTAATCGGCGCTAACAATTCAAGTAGAGTTCAAATCGGCTCAAATTTTAATATGTAAAAAAAAAAATTTAATAGACTCGATTTTTTTTTAAAATTTGCGAATTAGTAAATAACAAATTAGTATTTACTAACAAATTATTTACTAAAATTGTTATTTATGATTTTTTAAAAATTTTAACAACTCGAATTTTAATAAAATTTTATGTAAAAAAAACTTGAGATTATGTAGGGGCATTTTTGATATTTTAGATGAATTTGTTTTGTTAAAAATAGTAGTTTAATGATAGGGGGTGTTAGTAATGTTTAAATTAAACTAGAAGGGGTGTTATTGAAAATTCAAAAATTAGAGGTGATGTCTTTGAAAATATGATAAACTAAAGGAAATAACGTTAAAATTTTCTCTTTTTTTAATTATAAAATATCTAAATTTATATCGACTACTCTCTTAATCTCAACGTTTGCTGATCTATCTAATAATTTGGTTTTGTGCGTATTTTGCATTATTCTAATCCCTGTTCAAACGTGTTGACCCTCTGGTTAACTTTTTAATTATTTCAAATCCCCCTATGCAACCAACCATCCACTGCTGTGTCTGCCATCTCTGACTACAAGCTTATGCTAATTTAGGGTTGTTAATAGTTTGTGCTATGATACGATAATTGGTCGTGTTATATTTAAATAATAAAATATTAAATTTTGTCTAGAATATATCAATTTTTTTATAATTATATATAATTTGGGTCGTTTTTGTTTATCCCTCGAATAAACAAAGACAAATTTAAATGCATTAATATCACATTAATTTTTCTTAAATAATTTTTTTTTTTTTTGGATTAGTCATTAATAATTATCGCTCCCACAATTAAACTTTAAGGTTACAAATTCAAATTTCAAAGTATAAGCCAACTGGCCAAACCCATAAATCCATAAGGGGTGTGCTTGGGTAACGGGGTTGGATAGGATATGATTTGTTTTTTTATATCCTAACTCATCCAAGTCAAACTCATTCATCCACTTTAAAATCTTAACCTTGTAATATATCCAATCCCCACCTTTGTTTGGGAAACAAATATGTAATTCAGTGGACCTCATAGATTATACAAATAATTTTGTAATAATTTATCATTTTACCCAAGACTTTATCTATTCCAATCCAAACCAATCCTATCCTAAATTTGGATTGGTGGATTATCCTAATAAAATTATACATTTTTCACATATACTTTAAAACATATAAAAATTATATACGATTTAGACCCCTTGTTTAATTTTTTAGTTTTATTTCAATAGATAGTATAATTATATATTAATTATGATTTTTTAAGAAAAAAATTAATTTTTTTTTAATTTTATTTCAATAAATAATACAATAAACTATGAATTTTAATTGAAAAATAATAAGTGATATTTTATCTTTGATTGGAGTATTTTTGGTCTACATATAATATTTTAAATTTAAGAGATTTGAGTAATATATACCTACTACAAACTTTAAAGGGGTTTAAGTGTAATTTAATAATAAATATATTTATTTTAAAAGGCCTAAATATTATGCGCATAAACTTGAGGAAATATATGTGTAATATTTCACATACCACATATACATCCCACCACCACCATTAAACCCACTACCACTGCCAGCAGAATTCACTGCTCCATCTCTCCCACCACCACCACCATTAAATCCCTTCATATTTTTGCCGAGCTTTTCGAGTTAAGCCTGGTGGTATTCCACCATTCTCCACAAATCTCCATTTTCTGTTGAGTCTTTCGAGTTGATTCCCTTAACTCCAAAAACCCTTCATATTTTTCATCTTTTACATAAATTAATCCAGGTACTCTCGCATCACCCAACAAATCCATCTCTTTGTTATTGTTCACCGAAAATCCTTTGAATTTCTCACTCATACCAACAATACCATTTTCAACGATGGGTTAGGGCTTGGGGTTCAACAGTGGGGCTTGGGGTGCAACAGATGAACAATATTCAAAAAAAAAAAAAATCATCC